CTCTCGGACAAGAATCTGTATTTTAGGCTTAAGGAGATGAACAATAGCCTGATCGTCTAGGATTGGGTTTCACTGTATCAGAAACAGAATTTGGTGTACGGGCAGGAGTCCTGCAAACCAGAGCCCCCCAGGCTCCAGGTTGAAAGGAAACGTGCAGGTGTCGCTCACTGCGTCCGAGCACACCGCCGGCTCCAAGCCGCCTCGCTCCTCACCCGATGGCCTCTCTCTGCTCTCTGTCTGAGGCCTGGCCTCCTCCAGTCTCCCACCCGCCCAATGCGCCCCAGAGCTTGGAGCCTCCAGTGCGGGCACAGCCTCTGCTTTTCTGTCTGTGCTCGGTCTGGAGGAAGAGCCATGGGGGGATGCCTACCGCCACCACCCCAATGTGCCCAGAGCCCTGGTTTTGTCACCGCAGTGGACATCGGAGACCGCAGCCTGCACCTCTTACACTAGGTTTAGAAAGCAGTTCAGTCTGTTGGTGGGACATGTATTGCAGAGACCAAGCTTAGGCCTTGACCTACTCACCTTGACCTGTGCTCAGTGACCCAGTAACCTTCTCATGAAGGTTCTGACCTGGGATGATGTCACAGCCCTCATTGATGCTCCGTGACAAGGGAAGGGATGGGTCAGGGAGGCGGAGTCTGTTCCTCAAACGTCCAAATCTGTGGGCTTGGGGGTGTGGGTAGCACATGTCTAAAGTTAACAGGGCTACAGGGGCGCCAGCCCACCAGAGGGTGTGTTCTTGGGGGCAGGGGATTATGAATTTGTCTAGGCCATGAACAGATTTATTCATGCACCCATGACAAACCTGAACTGGTGTCGGGGACAGGCATTGACCCCGGAGTGAGATGAAGCCCTTGCCATCAGTCAGGGCTGGGCTGGCTTCGCCACTGGCCCAGAGAAGGTCCCGTGCAGGGCCTGCCGGGCAAGAACACCGAGCTCCCAAACTGTCATCCAGACGTGGCCCTGGCATGGGTGAGGCCTGATGGAGACAGATGGGTGCTGGTCAGAGTTTCAGTTTGAAAGCAGGGCTCTTGATTGCTGTTAGTGGGGAGCTGGATTTATCCTTGCAGCAGACCATTCCTCTGTTCTGTGAAAACCACTTCTGTGGTTAGCTGAAGCAAAGACCCGTAGCTGCCCTGGAACCCACCAGGATGCTGGGTGGACCGGAAGGAGGAGGGGAGCTGCACAGAAGCCCCGGAGGGTCAGTCTCTTCGGGGAAAGACGGGTTTCAGCTGAGGGAGACGGCTGATGGGTGGAGCGCAAACGTGTTTTCATCTGAACACAGGCTGGTTTGAGCCTTTGCAAGTTCAGAATGGTGAACCAGAAATGAGCAGAGCCCTTTGTTGTGAGGTCAGAGCTCATCAGGGCACTTGCTGCCCCTTGATTTGAGGGTGATAGGGAACAGAAGCGGGGTTGAGGAAGTGGGGGAATAGTAGTCCCCTCTGAACATGGCTTTCAAAAGAGGTCCTTTCCACAGCACCTTAAAAAGGTAATGAGTCTTCCTGTGAGCTGTTAGGAATGTCACAGAAAGACTTTCAAGGAAGCAACATGCACATTAGAGTGTGAGGAGCTTTGAAGTCAGAGACTTTCTTGTGATGTTTGCTTCCTGGCAACCAAGGAGTCGGGCCCCAGCACAAAGGTATGCATGCGCACACACACGTGCACGCTCACGCCCACTCACGCTCACTCAGGCTTCACTGCCTCTGGTTTTAGAAGCTAGCTGCACCTCTGAAGACTGGGTGAGGATGCTTAGTTAAAAACAAAAACAAAAAAGAACAACTCTAGCACTGACTGTTTAGACTCACACAATTCAAAGTGTAAGATGACATTAAGTAGTCCTACTTTTTAAATCTAACAAACGCATCAGACTTCTCTATTCAGTTCAAATGAAGGGGACAATGTATGTTTATTTCAAAGATTTCCATATTGCTCAAAATTGTCCGGAATTGTATGTAGAGTATTTGAATATCTTTAGTAATGGAAAATCTTTACCCACTGAGAATATAATTGAATTTGAGACAAAGCCATGAGTCAGTTGCAGCCAGCCTGGTATGCATACTGGGATTAAACAAAGTAAAGTGTCCGGTTTGAAAAAAAAAATTAATGAAGCAAGGACACTAAATTTTCGATATGTGGCTGAGAACAGGTTCTAAAACTATTTTGAAACAGGGAATTCCAACAATATTGTCAACATGTCAGGATCTTTGGGACAGGGCCCTCCACGCCCTCGGGAATAGCACTGTCCCTTAGTCGGACGCTGCCTGGCACCACGTCGTGTGGTTTTCCTCCTGTGTTAGGTTGAAATATTGTACATACTGCATAAGTTGTCTTTAGATTGAAAAACATACCTAATATTTTATACTGTTTCTAGAAATGCAAAACCTAACCAAAGGCCTATTAATTAATTCCATCCGAAGCAGTTCTGCTGATAATTCACAAATGCTTCCTAACAGATCGTGCTGCCTAACATTTGATAGAAAATGCTGTTTAAATGTGTTTTGGAAATGAATTCTTGTAAGTAGTAGAGCACTCATAGGCCAGCGTCAGGTGTGGGCTGGGGGAACTGTCCGTTGGGAGCTGCGTGGAGTGAGTTGAGGGGACGCGCCACGGCTTTCTGCCTCATGCTGTTGAAAATCTTTACAGCGTGCTTTACTCCTGTGAAACGACACCTGTGATGTCAGACATAGTCATATTCCTACTGGAGTGTAAAAGGCACGTTCCAAAGTTAATATCAGCGGTGTGGATTTGATAAATAGTCTGATGAAGACTGTCAGTAAAGGTTGGCAAATTTTCACCTGTGTGAGTCTACAGTTTCTAGCTTTCATAAACATGGGCTTCTTAAGGTTACCACTTCTTTTGAATTCAAAGGATTTCTAATTTTGCCTGTTGATGGGGCCTGCCTTCTAAAATCCAAGTGAGGCTTTTATAAAAATGAAGTATTTGTTACCATGGGAGCTGCCATTTACGAGAGTATGTTTTCCATAAAATCGGACCAGTGCATGTGCCCTGTTGCACAGGGCCCCCTGCTTAGGAGGCCCACACTGTGGACAAAAAACACATCTGTAATCAAACACTTCCGGAGCCGTGCATGCCCTGCCCAGTTCTGGAAGGGTCACAGTGCACTCATTACGTGACAGACCCTGGGAGACCCTGGCTTCCTTTAACTCCGTGTTTCTCGAATCTTTCTTTCCCCCTGCTGAATGTACTTTTAAAAAGCCTGTGATTTGAATTAAATCAAGGTGGCCTAATAGTATATTTTCTGGGATTAAGGGAAGACTGCCATCTATCCTTTAAAAGCATTTCTCTAATCCATCCTAGACACGTGCCTTAAGTCTGAGCTCCAGCTTCCTGTGAAGCAGAACTGCCCCCAAACTTTCTTAAAAACAATGGTAATCTGGCTGCTTTGAAGGTCTTTGGAGAGAGACAGTTTTCGTCTTCCTTTGTCACACTTGAGATGTTTAGAAATTTGGCTTTGAATTTTGTATTCAGAATGTTTTTCACTCGTTCCTAGTAATTTAAAAAATATCCCCTTTCCTCTGATGTGGAACCCGATTATTTTTGTCCAACACTATGCTGCAAATTCTAATTGTGTGTGGACATTTCGAAGGCAATGCATCGGATTGTTACAACACAGGCACCCCGCTTCTGTGCCAGGTGCCGCCCACAGGTGCCCCGAGGCGGCTCTGGGCTGATTTCGCCAGATGTGCCTGTGCGCCCAGAAACAGGGAACAGGTCATGCCATTGGGTCCAGACGCGTTGTCGGTGACCTTACAGTCAGAGTGGCTCTTAAAACCACCAGCTGCTTGTGCCCTGTGTGCTCGAGCAAACCACGCCAGCCTATCGGCCCACTCTGCGGCTGCTCTGGACACACATTGGCCTGAGTTTTGGCCAGAGTGGTGTTTGTGCGCAATCTCCTGAGCCCCACCAGATAACGTCATCCTTTCTGGGCGTGTTGGGTGCAAATTATATGGCCAGCGGTCTCCTTTCTGCCACTAGCAGGACCGGTGGGTTTAGGAGCCAATGGCATGCGACATGCAGGTTGCTGCCATGGGGATGGGGACTTGTTCCAGAACTTGGAGCTCTGACGGGAAGACTTCAGTCTTAGGCACAGGGAAGCAAGCCTTCTCCGAGGCTTTTCCAGTTTACCCCCAAAGAACAGGGGTTTAACGATGCTGTTTGCTGATTTCAACACAAATGCGAACTTTCTGAGTTGCATATATTTACATGCCAAATTCATTCATTCAGCAGTTGGTGTTAAATAATGATGGTTATCTCTAATGTTCATAGAATGGTAAAATCAAGAATTATCGTTATTCTGGCTATTGCAGCAGTATTCAGGAGTTCAGAGAATATTATAAAATATTAAAAGTGCTTTGCTAATATTCTCTCGTTAGCTTTATTGCCAAAATCAGTACTTCACTTTCTTTTTTTTCAGCTTAGCCATCCTGCCGCCTATTGGTAGCTCAGCGGCAGCTCAGCTCGGGCCGGGCATCGAACTGCTGCTGGCTCAGAGCTCATACTCTTGAGTGAGCTTTTAACCAACTGAGCCACTCGGCCGGCTCCAGTACTTCACTTTCTTAGCAGTGAAATCCCCACCCACTGTCAGGCACCGACCTTACTGATTTTGATTGTTAGTTCTCTATTAAGATCTTCTTGTCCCCAACTGATTTTGAGATTGTTTAAGTATGAGAACTGTGTTTTGTATGTAGTTTGGTTCTCCACAGGTGGTTTGGATATGGCTTAGTGATCACTTGGAGGGCAGCTGGTCACCAATTCCCTGACTTACTTAGTGCCTTTCTTTGCAGCCTTTTGTCATCCATGACATGGAGACACTGTGTATGGCTGAGAAGACACTAGTGGCCAAGCTGGTGGCCAACGGCATCCAAAACAAGGAGGCGGAAGTCCGCATCTTCCACTGCTGCCAGTGCACATCTGTAGAGACCGTCACGGAGCTCACGGAATTCGCCAAGTCCATCCCTGGCTTTGCAAACTTGGACTTGAATGATCAAGTCACTTTGCTGAAATACGGAGTTTATGAGGCCATATTTGCAATGCTGTCTTCTGTGATGAATAAAGACGGAATGCTGGTAGCATATGGAAATGGTTTCATAACTCGTGAATTCCTAAAAAGCCTAAGAAAACCGTTTTGTGATATCATGGAGCCTAAATTTGATTTCGCAATGAAGTTCAATGCCCTGGAACTGGACGACAGTGATATTTCCCTTTTTGTGGCTGCTATAATTTGCTGCGGAGGTAAGTTATTGATTTAATCTGCTGGTGCCATGTCACCTACTCCTATCTTGAAGAATTTGACAGCAGTAAATCCGCTGTGAGCAGGAGTTGAACTGCAGTGGAACCAGCTAGTAGGTGGGAAGGTATCTGAGCCCAACATCACCACTGACTAGCAACAGTGAGAATTATGTCAATACTCTACCACATTATAGCATATATTATTATATATAAATACATATTATGCCTTTTATATATGTTCTATTTATAATTATATATAAATATATATTCTATTTATATTGTAATACAATATCAAATATATCAGGTATGGTTAATTAGAATGTAATTAGTATGGTGTATAATGTTATTATGATACAGTTATGTGTCACATAACATCATTTCGGTCAATGACAGACTGCATACCGTGGGTCCCGTAGATTATAATGGAGCTGAAAAACTCTTGTCACCTAGTGAGGTCACAGCGATGCAGCACAGTGTGTGACTTGTGTGTGTGTGTGTGTGTGTGTGTATGTGTGTCTGTATCTGTGTGTGTAATGCTGGTGTAAACAAACCCACTGCACTGCCAGTCGTCTAAAAGTACAGCACATCAAGGGCTGGCCAAGTGGCTCAGTTGGTTAAAAGCTCACTCAAGAGTGCGAGCTCTGAGCAACAGGGTCACCATTTCGATTTACGGCCCGAGCTGAGCTGCCGCTGAGCTGCCAACAGGTGGCAGGATGGCTCAGCTAAAAAAATAAAATAAAAATAAATAAAAGTACAGCACATCAGTTGTGTCCGGCACATAATACTTGGTAACAAACGACTGTCGCTGGCTCGTGTGCTCGCTGCACTGGACTTAACGGTCACTTTGGAGTGGGCTCCTCCCACTGACAGCAAGTCTGCTGCAACAGTGGCCGTGCCACCCGGCAGCAGCCTCATCCATCCCGTGTTTACGTGTCTCTTGAGGGCACCGTTTCCTCTTGAGCTCCAGCCAGTCTTGTGCTGTTTTGTGCAGTAACGTGCCGTACAGGCTGGCAGCCTGGAGCACGGGTGTGCAGCGGGCTGGACCCATTCAGGTGCGTGTAAATGTACTATGTAATGTTCGCACGACGACGAAATCGCCTAATGACGCATTTCTCAGAACATAGCCCCATTGTTGAGCGACGCATGACTGTATATTATATTATTATAAAGTTATATCTGTATTACAGAAAGTATTCTATAAAGTGCCATACAGATGTTTGTACAGTCATGGCCACTATTGGTATATTGATGCTGTTTCATAATGCAAATAATTAGTAGCAAACTGGCAGCAATTGCAGTTCGCTTTGCTAAAGGAAATGGATCCCAGTGAAGGGAAATCCAGGCCTCTGCGGGAAGCTGGCTCTGCAGCCCCCAGATTTCTGGCTCAGTGTCACGTTCCTTTAAATAGCACTGTCTGGGTCTAAGAAGGTCATTCCTCTACTGTAAAGCCGGTTTATCTTACCCGGCCTTGGGGGAGACAGAAGAGGCGCCTGCCCCCACAAAGCACTGACAGCTACATTGTCCCCCAGGATTGACAGAATTGAGGCTGCCGCAACCGCCCAGACTCTGTAAGGGGAGCTGGGTGAGGGCAGTCCAGCCTCACTCCACGACATTTGTCCCTGTTACCATGTAGCTGGACCCAGTCTGGTGGAGGGAGTCCTTAGCCTCTGGCAAAAAGTGTAAAATGCCAAAGCAGTTGGCACGTGACCCGTCACTGTCCTTTGTGCACTCAAGATGTGTGTAGTGGGTAAAAAGCAGTCGCTGAACTATTTATATGTAGTGTGATCACAGTTTTACAAAAGAAATTATAATCATGTATTAACCCTATATGTAGAAAAATGTCTGGTGAGATGTACATTAAACCTGGATGATGGGGTTAAAATTATGGAGGGAGGGGTTCGCTTTATTTTTTTAAATCTCTGTTGAAAAACTTAATTACAGTTGACCCTTTAACAACATGGGTTTGAACTGCACATGTCCACTTATATTCGGATTTTTTTCAATATACAGTCGACCTTCCATGTCCCCAGGTTTTGCATCCATGGATTCAGCCTCCTGTCGATTGAAAGTAGTATTTTCAGTCCACAGTTGGGAATCTGCTGATGAAAAAGGCCAACTGTGCGCTGTCCTATATGCCATTTTATATAAGGCACTTAAGTATCCACGGATTTTGGTATCCGCAAGGATTCCCAGAACCAATTGGGGGAGTTATATGTATATTTTCGGCTACATGGATGTCGGCGCCCCTAACTGCTGCATTGTTCCAGGGTGAACTGTATGTTTTACAACCAAAAAGAAAGAAAAATCTACATCTTGAACAACACTTCTGAAAATCCTAGTAGTGAGTGGGGCTTTAAAGAGCCCACTGCCTATTGATGGGTTGGGGGCATATTTTCTGGACCTAGGGCAGGATGCCTGGCCTGACGGTGTCCCAGGAAGTCTGGTCACCGGCTGAGCTCCCCTAGGGAGGTCAGCTGGCGTGAACGTTGGCCCATCCTGCACCAGGCCTCCCCGCTCCGGGTCTCCTTGGCATCGTCTCCAGCCAGTATCCATCCTCCATCCACATCTCGCTCCACTTTCTTTCAGCCGATTCATGTTAGAAGGTACCTGTTACAGTGCTTTGTACTGCAAAACCCAGGTATCCCATAATCACACTCCTTAAATATTGGTGAAAAACTTGAAACCAAATAGCTACTTTTGACTCAAGAAGAATTTCATGTTCCATATAATGCAGAATTGGTCGTAATCATCATCAGAAGGTATAGTTTACTCCTCGTGTTCTGGGGTTTTCCCCTGACAGGTGGTAATCAGGTAAATCCACAATGAAAGGGCCGTGCTGTGAGGTCTAGTCGATTGAAGGGAATATAAATATTTAGGAATGGGCATTTGTCCTGTCCGCCACTGTTAGGCCTCCTGACTTTGGGAAAAAATCTAGTTCTGTCTTCTAGCCAAGTTGACAATATCTGAAGGTGGCAAAGCTTTTGGTAAGAGAGGCCATGTTAAAATACGGACACGTGGTTTCAACTAGTGATCACGTATTAGGCGTTACCATGGTGATCGTCACGCTCAGTCATCTCTCCTTTCTTTTGAGGACAGATCGCCCCGGCCTTCTGAACGTCGGACACATTGAAAAAATGCAGGAGGGGATCGTGCACGTGCTCAGACTTCACCTGCAGAGTAACCACCCGGACGACATCTTTCTCTTCCCCAAACTTCTTCAGAAAATGGCAGACCTCCGGCAGCTCGTCACCGAGCATGCGCAGCTGGTGCAGATCATCAAAAAGACGGAGTCGGACGCCGCGCTGCACCCGCTGCTGCAAGAAATCTACAGGGATATGTACTGATTCGTGGTAAATGCGCAAGAAAGGAGGAACGTCTCAGGAGTTTTAAAGTTGACAGCACTACAAATGAGAAGTGGGAGCACGGTTACTTTGCACAGGTGGCCACCGTCCTAACCCTCGAGACCGGTAAGTGTAAGCTCCGGGTGGTCACCAGAACCCGGCTCCACACGTCCTTCCTCTTCTAACCAGTACTTCTAAGAGCGTGCAAAGTGTGGACATGCCGGCGATACGAGGCTGAGTCAGGACTTGAAAACTAAGGAGAATGATGTTCAGTGGCCTGATTTGAACCTGCCCGGGGTGAATCAATGCAGATTTCTTTAAAGCACGTTAGCAACTCACCGCTGAATGAACTGGTGCCCTCGGAACACGTGGCCTGCCTTCCCCCGGGTACCACCGGTGACTGTTGTGCTCCTTTATAATTTTGGAAACTAATCAGCACTTTTTAACGTTTATAATCCTGTAACCCTAGAGGTATCCAAAGGTTAGGTATTTAAAAAGCAGCAAAATATTTATTCGGAAGACTTCAGTTCTGTTTCCTGAGCTTGAAGACAGACGACACGCTGTTTTTAATCATAGGATTTAGAATTTCAAAGAATTATTTGATAAGCTATCGCAATGCAGCCATTGTTTTGTTTTCAGTTCAGTTTTCATGGTTGTGACTAATACGTGGAGAAAAGCCTGTTTCCAGGTTTGTGTAGAAGGTCCCAGAAAACTGCGTCTCAGGACCCGCTCTGGGCTGGATCACAGGCCTGTGTTAAGCTGATATCTGTGGGGAGCAGGATCATGACAAACTCTGAAAGGACCTCGTCACCCCAGTCCTCTCACCTGTTTCCTCTCAAATCTGAACCAACCCAGTGTGGCTGTTTGGGGGCCACCGTAGTGTTTTCAGGGGCAAACTGACAAATGATTTGTAAATGTCCCTCTGGCCCTGTGTGTCAAGGCAGCTCCATGGTCTTTCCCTGTGTTGCTTTTTAAAATATGCAGCTTTGTTCTTGTAACTCTTGGTGGTAGTAGCTGCCCCCTGGCGTGGAGAAGACGAGGCAAATGTGACTTTATAGTGGAGGTGGGGTGGGGGTGGGAGATCACCTGGAGATCAGCCGGAGTGAGGGGAGGGCGGATTCCTATCGGGGAGGTTTCCCTTAGTCTCAGGATTCATGGCAGGCTGGTGACGTTTACAAAGATTGAAAGAGTTAAGTGTTCTTTTCCAACCACGTATGTAAGGTGGTCTTTCCAACATCTAGAATATTTGTTTCAGCCTTAAAGTCAACTTCTCAACCTCGGTTTACCTGTGAAAGGATTGTCTATTATGGTTTTTATCTAGAGCTTGTGGTCCCGGAAGCACTCCCTTTTTCTGGCCATCATAGTAGATCCATTGTCCAGTCGGAGATTTTCAGCAGCCCCTCCACCCCAGCCAGACTGGGCTGTGCTGGCCAGTGCCATCAACCACAGGGGTCACTGGACACCTCACTCCCGGCATCTATGAGGCTGTATCCTTGACAACACCCCCCCCCCATCTTTAGAAAATCTGGCTCTATAAGGTCATAATTATTTGCTATTAAAGAAGGATTAGGATCAATATTGATAAAGTTCCCAAGATCAATGTTAAGAAAATGCAACAGTACAAGGAACAATAAAACCGTGAGACTTCAACTGGAAAAAAAGCAAAAGTTACAATTGGACCATCCTTTTAAAAATTCCACAGTCAGTGTTTTTTTAAGATCTAATCAAAGGATCCCTTGGAAGCAAAAGTATTTCCACATACGAATGACACCAATCAAGAGGTCTTCCTAAGTCATAAAGGAGCTGAGCTTTGAGTCACATGGAGCGCCCTTTTCAAGGTTCATTCCTAGAATGAGAACCCCTAGACTGCTGAGCTTGGAGGGTCCTGGTGTCCAAGGTCGCGGGGCTCGGGGCTAGAGTCCAGTGTCAGGTCTGTGCTGCCCCCATTGAGTACTGGCCTCTTGCTCAGATGCTTCCGGACCCGAGCTTTCAGAAAAGTCTTTCACTCTGTTTAGATTTTCATAAAACTGATCTAAAGTAGATTTCATATTTTCGGCCATAGCAATCAGGCTGACAGAAGACACAGGTTGTGTTTTAGCGGCCGTAGAGAGAGTTGGATCTCTTGGGGGCCTGGCCAAACTACCAGCGATGTCCCTGGTGAAGCCACAGAGGAGGACACAGGTGACCTCAGCTTGAAAATCACTTGACATTGTTCACTTTTATTATAGGAAGAAAATCACATGTTCCCATTCATTTTAAATAACAGAGTCACTATAGTTGCTACTCAGAATATTTTGGGTCAGCTAGTCAGAAATTTCTCAGAGCATCGATAGTTAAACATAGACAAGTTATTCACCAGTTCAGTGTAGTGTAGCGTTTCAAACAGGGACTACTGAGGGAAAGCATGTGTTGTTTGCTAGGTCTCAGTAGACATCGGCACAGAGTACAATGGAAACGTCATCGTATCAGGTTCTAGAAGCTTCCAGCTGCGAGCATGGAGCCACCTCCTGGGGTGAACACTACCTTGACCCCGCTTCAGCAAGTCACTGCTTAAACCTGCTTCTTCATGTTCTTTGCTTGTAAAAGCAAAAAGTGCCAAACTCTTCCGAGACAACAAATTACCAAACAGCCTTGGTCCTGGTCTCGAGTGCTGATGACAATGACAATGAAAGGACATCCCGGGCTCATCCGAGACGCACCTCCTCACTGTGCGACCAGCCCCGTGCTCGGATCCAACCTGGTCCTGTCCACCTGCTCCTACAGCATCTCTGCCTTCCACGTCTGGACATTTCCATGAAGCCCGAGGGCCGCACTGCAGGAAGCCTTTTCCATGACATTCAGTATCGTCAAAAGCAGGAGGCTCCCACTTGCCCCCGAGAGTGGGATTCAGGAACAGTGTGAATATCGTCGGAGCACCAGATGGCTGCCTGAGACCTTTCTACAACTCTGATGAGATGGGTTCAGAGCGGCTTCCTAAGGTGGATGTAAGCAGACAAAAGCAATGAAGTGGAGGACAGACAATCTCGGTGTTTCAGCACATCCGAGAATGGCTGCGAGAGCTGTCCCTGTTTTAAGGGGTTCTTGCTTTTCATAGAATGCAGCTTTCTACTTGTACCGATGTGTGTCTTACCTGGGGCTGTCTAAAACACTAGGGGGCCTCGAGGATTGCGTTGCCCACCCGGGGACAGCGCAGCATCTGAAGACCTGAGCAGAAGCAGCGCAAGGCCCAATTCAAATCCCATGTTTGATGTATGATGATAAGTAAACGATTAATTAGCAAGTACTGTTTCCCCAAACCTACAGCATAACAGCTACCTCATTAGAGATATCAAAAGGCACTGTCAAAATTAAGGTACTCAGACCCCCGCGGACTTTTTGGTGCATCTTTGGTCAGACCATCTGTGATGAGGGCTCAGAGGCTGCACGCTCACCTCTTGTCTGCACCCTGAGAAGTGGAAGCTTATTTGACTTTTTAAAGGAACTCTTGTTGTTTAAAGGGCGCCTCAAAGATACGCTTATAGAAAAGTTACTACCCTGTTTAGCGAGACAGCTTGAGTGTGACCGGGTTTAGGAGAATCAGTGGTGGCCAGGCCTGCAAGTGACCCACTGCACGAGGCCTCCCCTCCAGCTACGCCTGCTGGCCCGTTCAGGGGGAGAGCCTGTTGGGTGAGGGTGGAAGGAGGTACCCCCATGCCAGCCTTGGTCAGATCAGGACTTCCCAAGGCCTCGCTCATCTTAGTCGCACCTGTGCCTCTGCTCGACTCCAGACGTTTCCTGCCTCGTGTTCCCTTTTCAAACCATGGTGACACTGGGTGCAATGGATCTTAGCGGGCAGATGCACGATGTTTTTTGCTCTTGACCCAGTGATCACACCTGTCTTTGGAATGTCTTAGGAACTCCTGTCTAAATATGGGTCCATTGTTTCAACCAATGGCATTTCCAGTTAAAACTGACTTGACCACTGGCCTGGCCTTTGAGACTTTAAGGGACCCAGGGAAAGCCAGCCACCTTCACAGTACCTCTTCAACCCATGTGGCCTTTCAAACTGCAGATCCCGCTAGGAAGACATGTCAGGTGCTCCCCACCTACACCTGGGTCTTTACTGCTTTCAAAGCAGCAGCACTTGGGCCGGCCGAGTGGCTCAGTTGGTTAAGAGCTCACTCAAGAATGCAAGCTCTGAGCAACAGGGCCGCTGGTTTGATTCCCGGCCTGAGCTGAGCTGCCAACAGGTGGCAACAGGTGGCAGGATGGCTCAGCTAAAAAAAAAAAAGAAAGCAGGAGCACTTGGCATGTCTCCTCTGATGCTCAGCCCCTTGAGGGGTGTCAGGATGGAATCACCCCCATCTTAAAACAGCCCTGCTCAGATGACGGGCAGCCTGGCATGGCAATTCTGTGGACCCTCCCTGCTCCTGCCAGCTTTACAACAGGCAGTGTGGCTGCCCCTGCCCCGCCTGCCCCACCCATGCTCTGTGAGTTAGCCCCACAGCCCCGATGGCCTGCAGGGATTACTTGCTTCAAGTAAGTTCACGACAGTGGTTCAATTCGGGAGAGGCAAGGAAATTATACCGTCCATAGAAATTGCAAACTAAGATCGGTGCCACCAGCTGAGGGCTTACTGATTAAAATGTGTCCACGGAAGACCTTTTAACACACCCAGTTTTTACACCATTAGCACTGTCTTTGTTCTTATCGGTTTAAAATGACCCAGCTCCTCTTAACTCTCAGGCCAAGCTGACTTACAGCGCTCCCCTGAGGTTAGTGATTCTTAACCCCGAACCTTTGCGTTGGGTGGTCAGTCAGGGGCCTCTTGCCTTCCTGAGAAGTGACCTTCAGATGGCACAGTCGGAAGTAAAGGGCCCATGAACACCCACAGCAGGAAGACTCTAAGGACAGCTTAGCCATGCTGTAGTGGGAAGAGCAGATGAAGGTTGTGACGAATAAACGCTGACTCAGTGCACTGTGCTGACTGTGCTGCCCCAACCAGGGGGCTCTTTGATGCCATGAAGTCACCAGGTGGCTGTCCTCTTGCTGAGTCTAGGGACTTTTCCAAGGCACAGGTCCCTCAGAAGGACCTGCCCGGAAAGACCTAAGGTTAGGCTCCAAAGGTTGAGGTCTAAGTTTTTGCTCAGATTTTCATATTTTTTAGGTGCCATTTTAATAGAATTCAGGACAATGGTCATCAACACCCCGCCCCGCACTCACCCAGCCTGTGAAACAGTAGACTAAGAATAAAGGCAAGTACATTTGGTCCGACTCGCAATATAGGAGACCCAATACATTGTACTTGTCCGGGAACTACAATGTATTGGGTTGTCGGAAAAGTCATGATTCATTTTTGAAATGAAAAACATACAAAAAATACGTCATGACTTTTCCGACAACCCAATAAAAACTAAAATGTGATATTGGGAGTCTTGTAAGAAAAAACCAATGAATCGTCATGATCTAGTTTAAATAATTAAATAATGCTTTCCATGATGCTATTTTTTGTGGAACGCAGCAGATTCTTACATTTTATTTCGGCAGAGTGGGCTGCAGGTTTATTTTTGAAAGCAAGCTGCGGTGTGGCCTGCTTATTAAAGCAGAAGCGAGGCTGCCGCCCAGGCCGCTGTCCGCACCGCCTTGTCCCAGCTCCAGGCGCCTGCTCAGACCTGCCGTGGGGCTATCAACTGCCCACTTGCTCCTCAGAATGCCAGTTTGAGACGTAAGAAATAGAACCGTTTACGTCCCCCCACCCCGAGAAAGGGCGGCCGTGTCATGTGGTCCAGCTGAAGCTCAGCCACACCCTTGTGTCATCCTTTGCCAAACAGAAGAGACCCAGCTGCATCCATGTGCAATGTCGTATCTTGACTGAGGCAACTGATAACATCAAGGACTTCAGTGGCCCCATGGCTGTTAAGTGCATTCTTTGCCAAAAAACAAGCAAACTAAGAAACATCAATTTTTTATATCCTAGATAGCAAATTAAGACCTAGGTCTGTTTTTTTGTTTTCTGGTTGTTTTGTTTTTGTTTTTTCATTTAAAATGCGTTTGCTAGTTTGGGTCAAATGTGAAAAATTTCCCTATTTTTCTCCAGAGCAGGGAATACAGCGGCCTCCTCCTGTCTTGCCCTCTCCCCACACCCACCAGCATCTAAAGTCCGTAACACAGTGACCACGCAGGCCACAGGTTGGTGCAGACAAGCCCCCACCTGGAGCCGGGCCTCCTGGGACATGGGTGAGCTGGGGGCAGGGCATGTGCCACCAAGTCTCGAATCAGATTCCTCAAGGCAGGAAGGTCCAGCTTCAGGCCCTGAAGACAAGTGAGTGACCGATCTTTTCAAGGTAAAATCATTCACTTTGGGGCAATGTCTTCTCTTTTCAAAAGCACAGTCTGTCTGTTCCTTTTTTCAGGCCTAAAAGAAAATGTACCTCACAAAAGATGAATGCCACTCAGTACCCTTTTTAGTAAGATTACAGTATTTGTGTACGAGTATCACTATTTTTTTTCTACATTGTATGGTAAAAAGAACCATGTTAATAGCTATATCTTAAATACTGTGATTTGAGTTTTTTAAAAAATCCTAATATAAATATTTTACTAACTTACAATCATGTATCTAATAACAAACATTTGGACTTTTGGAAATCAGTGTTAATTGACATATACTCTTAATAACCTGCTCTTGGAAACACCAAGGAAGCTGGAACAATCACAGCTGAAATACAGCCGCACACTCATCAACGCTTCGTGTCTGCTGAGCCACACAGAGTTTATTTCTCTGCGTAACTGTTCCCTTTGCCACACTTCATGTGCAAGAAGCACAGCGAGTATGTCTTTATCATTTCTGCCACCTTAAACCCAGCTGAGAAGTCACCGACTTCACACAGCGGTGTCTCGCCGAAGACCACCAACTACTCTTGTGTAGCAAGTTGCTGTCAGCTCTGCCAGGAATTATTACCTGTGGGTTATTATTACCAAAGAACTTTGCAATTTGAAATATTCTGATGGAATATTTGCACTGGCTGCTTCTCTGGCAGCCTCCAGATGGCCCAACCCGAAGCATGAAACAGAAACCACAGACCCTGTGGGTCTCTCGTATGTTGTTTTCCTTATTTTGGCAAAATTTCCCCTTGATGTGTACCTGTACTGCCCCCGGACCCACAGGGCTCGAGGGGACGAGCACTGACGCACACACGCCAGGACGGTGCAGATTTCCAAAGCAAGGCCTGGCCTTGGTTTCCTGGCATGTGTATCGTTACTCTTCTTGGGTGCCTTATACTCTCAAAGTATTTAGGGGCAGACAGACCCCTTGTTTTTATCTAAACAGGAGCAGTTTGAATGCAGATTTTTTGAGCAGGCTCCGGAGTCCTCTCCAGCTCAGACGCCCTCTCTGGGTCTGGGTGGGGCCCCGGGCCTCGGGAAACAGGGGTGTGCAGAGATGGCAGACGGCACTGGAACCTTCCTACTCACGCTAACTGATCGTGGTTCCAGGCAATTAGAAAATGGCTACAAAATAACTTTTTAAAAATCGTGGGTCTTATTCATTTTGCCATTAGGAGATTGAACTGATCAATATGTATATATTGATTTATATCCTGAATTTATGGGAACTTATATGTTTGGAACGTCCTACTGTAAGACTGGTGAATGTAAAGAGTTAATTTCAGGGTACAGTTTTGCCTTAATGGTTTTAAAAAATAAACTATTTTTAAAGATTATTTGTTGAGTTTTGAGTGATGCTGTGAGGATGAAACCAAATCCCCAACCCTTAGCAGGAAACCAAATCCGCCCTCAGCCCGAGAAATCCCCTACCCCACTCGCCTGAGGTGGTCTTCACTTGTACAAAACGTGCCTGGGACAGTGTGGCCGGAACATGACGTCCATTTGTCTGCAGTAACGTGAGGCAGGGAGAGCTTTGAAAAGCGTAGGCATCTGAAAATAAAGCCCAGCACATGGCTTGGTCCGTAAAAGTTCTTTATTCATTCTCTCATCAAACAGTTTTTGTCGCCGCCCAGCCAGTGAAAGGGGGCCTGGCAGCCATTTCACGGTGAGACAGAGCAGGGCCCACCCTCCAAGAACCAGCAGACCCAGAGGAGCTCACAATCCAGTGTGTCACCATGCTACAGCGGGGCCACAAGGGGCGGCGTGTCATGGCTGAGCGGCGCCATGGCGGCAGGATGCCAGGGGAGGGGTGTCAGGTAGACGGGCACCATGGTGGAGAGGTGCCATGGCAGAGGGGCGCCAGGGCACATCAGTAGGCTGTGGGGTGGACCCCATAGGCACGAAGGGCTGAGTCCACTCTGCAGAGGCAGCAGGCAAGCAACAAACAGGCTCTGAGGTGTGGCCGCGAGGGAAGGAAGCCGCGGGCATCCCTCTACCTCGGAACAGAGTTGGGCCTGGAGCTGGAGCCGGAGGAACAGAAGACGGTGGCAGCACCCACCCTCCACCACGGGATCCACGGCCAGCTCTGGAGTGCCGGCATGACCACACAGGGTCTCCCCACACCGGACCCACAGCTCCGAGACAGCGCGACTTTGTCCCTGTGCTGCTATGTCCACCGGGCCTGGCAGAGCAACGTGGAAACAGCGCCTGGATCTGATCAGCTGTACGAAGGGCACACGGGCTCCTCCAAGCTCAGCCATGGGTGAGCCGGGCACAAGCCAGGGGATGATGCCACAGGAAGGCCGAGCGCCCAGCCCCTGCAGAGAGTGACAGGGCCAGCAGTCCTGGCCTTGGCGTCCCTCTGTTCATGCCCTGCGGTCCAGCCCGGCGCCGGTGCACAGGGTGTCCCCCCTGAGGTCTGCCTTTTGGGTGCCTCCTCTGCATGGCTCCTGGCCCTGTTGCTGCTACAGGCTGGGCTGCAACTTCCTCAAGCCGAGAAATGGCCTGGACGGCGGCTCCCAGCTCAGCGCCGTCCCAGACCCAGGCCACAGATGCCAACTGGCCCAGGAGCCCATGCAGAGCTGCAGGGCACTGCTGCAGACCTGGCAGCCGGCTGCACTCATGTCCGAGAAGCGGGCAGGCTCGCTGGCCTCTTTGATGGAAGCTTCCTTTTCTCCAAGTCTTGCCGAATTTCCTGAGGGAAGGCCTCGATGTTCTCCTGGACACAAGGGAGGCAAAATCTCTTGGAGTAGAATAGGCTGCATTCCTAAAAGAAGAGGGGAAGAGGGCTGAGTACTACCGGGGAGTGTGGTGCCGCCTCTCCCAGAGGCCAGCCCTTCACCCCGTGCTGGGCGGCGGGCTGGGCAGGGTCCCCAGGGCACACAGGCAGCTGAGAGGAGGGAAGGGTGGCCCGAGCCAGAGCAGTCAGAGGGAGACCAGGGTCCAGGGCCCGGCTGGCCACCTCAAG